CGCCGCGCGGAGGGGGAGCTCGCAGGCACCGGGAAAAGTTGCTCCGAGGGGCGGAGGCGGTGGGTGGTGGGCGGAGGCGGTGAGTGGGGGAGGCGATAGCCCTCCTATCTCCAAAGTCGAAAGTACTCGGCGTAGTTAGCAGAACCCGGAGCCGAGGCAGCCGCGGCCGCCTTCCGCGCGCGGGTCTGCGCCTCCTCAAGGAGACGAGGCAACCAGCGCCAGCCTTGTCGCTGCCGCCTCCGCGCTGGGACGAGTGCGCCTAGGGACTGGGCGAGGCGGCCGCGCCCTGGACCCACAACGAAGAGGGGGACCAGACCGGGGGCCGGCGCCCGCTTTTTTCCCACCCATCGGCCGCGGCCGCCGCCTCGCGCGGCACTGGGTTCTCTGCCATCGGTTCTCCACCGCCCCGCGCGCGCGGTCCTCGCCACACCGTCCTCCCATAGCCGACTCTCTTCCTCCTCCTCCCTCTTCCTTGCCTCCCACCCGCTCCTGGCCTGTCCCTCTGCCTCCTCCGCAGCCCCGCCGCTGCTGGGTCGCCGGGCTCACAGCGATTGATTGATTGATGTTTAATTTCCTGCCAGGCGGGGCCCCCCTCCTCCGGCAACCTCCCCGGCCCTCCTCCCCGCCCCCCACTCCCCTCCTTCATTGCGGTGGACCATTCTGGCTTGGGTTTAGATATTTCCCCCCCAACCACCATCCCGAAATAACCCAGAGACTTCCCCTACCCCCACCTCAAATTATTATTTTGAAGGCGCTAGATCTGGGGACGGAAAGGGGGAGGGGGAGAAATCGGAAACCGAGGACAACCCAAAAGACTCACTTTGCCTGATGACTCAACGCAACTAATAATCATCTCCCTCTCTGTGTGTCTCTCTCTGCGGCTTGTCAGTGAGTCCGGCTCCGGCTGCTGGCGGCGGCGGCCGAGAGGGGAGAGGCTGGAGGTGACAGCTTGGGCGGCCGGCGCGTTTCCTCCCGCGCGCGGTCCCGGGTCCCTGCGCCGTCTCGGCTCTGGGTGGCACCGGCCCTGCGGCTCTGGCCGCGCCTTCTCGCGAGCAAGCAGCATTGCGAAGCGGCAGCCCCCACCCGCCTCCGCCGCCTTCCAGTTCTCAGCCCTCACTCTCCAGAACGGGTCTCCTTCCCGAAGGTGTGAAAAGGCTTTTTCAGCCTCCTCTTTTCTCCCCTCCTCCGTCGTCCCCTCCCCCGCTCGCTCGGGTGCCCCTTCGGAGCAGCCCTCCTTTCCCTCTCCTCCCCCTCCCCCTCCCCCTCATCATCATCATCATAACAACCATCTCCGCATTAGAAGACACCCTGACCCAGGACCGTAAGCGTTAGGACCTGGGGAAGAGGAAAGGGGAAGGAGTAAAGAGAAAGGAAGACTAGGAGAACACTGCAAGGCAAAGCACCAGAAACTTTCCACCCTGGATTCTCTACTTTTGCTCCATGGACAGAGCTTCAGCCAGCCAAGTTACAGACAGACCGTGAGCAGTAAGTACGCAGGGCGAGGGCTCCCGCGCCGTGCTCCGGAGTTCGGGGAAGCCCCGAGTCCGGCTAAGTTCCCTCCCTGCAGCTCTCGCCCTCTCCGACACCGCAGCCGGGTAGTGCGGACGGTATCTTCTCCCTCAGCCGTCCGGCTCGGTCTCTGCTTCTCTCGCATCTCTTCTGCCACCTCCCCTCTGCCACCCCCACCTTGTCTTCTTGAGCCGTGGCGACGCGGCTTCTCCCACGGCGAGAGCGCGCGCGAGAGGATTCCCAGCGCACTTTATTGTGCCGGATTCCAGCTTCTCTGGGATGTCAGTGACAGTGCGAGTGCCTTTTCATCAGGTGTTTTCCTCTCCTCCGCCCCCCCACTCCAAAAAAAAAAAAATCCAGGGGTGCTGAGATCTGCGGGTTCTGTGAGGAGAGCGCTGCCAGCCAAGCGACCCAGAGGAAAACTTTTTGGAGAGATTTAAAAATTGGGTTTGATGAAGGCTGCTCCCGCACCTGATAATTTAAATGCTTTTTTGGCTATTGTGTTTTATGCCGAAGAGTTTTTTTTTTTTTTTTTAATAACTATGGAGCGGGTGAAGATAAAAACG